ACAGATCAGGGTACGGCACAGATACTACAGTGAAAATAAGCATATGTTCTGATTCATTTCCTAGAGCGCCTACAGTTTCTTCAACAAAGCAGCTGAGACAATAGGAAATATGCAGAGAAAAGTAAATCAGAACATTTCAATAAAGAGAAAATTAAAAGAAAAGGACAAACAAATCAATGCAAACCCACAGATTCATACTAGCCATTCTCCAAGGAAAATTCATTTGTAACTTAATTAAATGCTTCCCAGAGAGACAGGCATAATTGAAATACAGGGTGCCTGGGTTGAGTTTCAAGGAGCAGCAGACCCTCCTTGACTCCACTCCGCCCCTATCACTCCTGCCTGCTGCAGTTCACAAGGCTGCTTTCTAGTTCGATTATAGGTACTTTCCATGAAACAATATAATTAGAAGCAGCTGAATTTCTCTTGTTCTCCATCAGACCAGCAAAGTGTTCCTCCTCTGGAGCAATTTGTAATCATGTTTAAAGTCTTTCAATCTTGTGCCTAAAGAAGTTATTACTTGTTTCAATGATATTCTTAAAATATTTTGCTTTTGTAAAATTTATAAGCATTGTACTTATAAGACTTCAAGAAGGACTCCTACATATAGGGTGTGTTCCCAAATCCATTAGAGGTGAGGATAATCAAAGACTTCAAAGTGCCTATGATTCAGCATAAAGACAGGCCAGAATAGAAATGATAAATCTGATAATCCTTAACATTTGGGAAAATTTGTTTCTACATTTCTGGATGCTTTTACAAACTCCTCAGTCTAGAAACTTTTAAAACAATTTTCTTCATGAGATTTCTATTGTTTTAAAATTAGAGAGATACTAGAAATCACCTCCCACCGCAAATGACTTCTCTCAGTCAAGATGGTGGCTATTTCCCTCCTGTTCTTAACCAAAAGCAAGAGGTTCAAAAGCAAATGAAAATTATTAATAAAAAAGGTTAACCACTATGGCTAAGTATAGACAGTCAAAAAGCCCAAGGCTGAATTGATTCAGTCTTTGCAGGTTAGTCTAAGATGCAAAGATTGAACCAATAAGCAAATGAGCAGACAATCACTTTTGATTGAGGAAATGCAGCCAAATGCTTGCAGTGGCTCAAGCCAGAAGCTGGGGGGGGGAGGGGGGGACCTAGAGAAAGCCTGTCTGCCACTGCCAAAGGGAAGGAAAGACACAAGCTCTCCACGACTTTTCCCCACTCCCTGCTGGAGTGGAGGGGGCATGGCCAGGCCCCAGCCCAAGCTCTGCCTGGGCAGGGGATGTTGCCAGGCTGAGGAGGGGGTGGGTGGGGGAAAAGGTAGCGGCACTTAATTCATAAAAGCTTGAACAAAAATAGTTCTCTCTCTGAAGTAGTATAAATTGAAGAACTATAAACACAGCGTGGCTGTATGTTTACTTCCTCTTCCAGCTGCCCCCAAGGTCTCTGGGATTTGCCGTCCAGAATCACAAAAGTAGGACTCTGCCGGGTTGCTCATCACTTCCTCTTCCTGCTTCCAGGCGTCTCTCAGATTTGTAGTCCATAGTTGCAACCAACAGTTAGTAAGCAGGGCAGAGTAGCTCTGTACTTGGGGGAAGGGGAATTTAACCTCCTCCCTGGCCCCAGACCCTAGCCAGGGTTTGCCTGGGGGGAGGCAGTGAGCCAGCCCTCACTGCTCCAGCTAGGGAGCAGAGGGGCAGGATCAACCCTGCTCTCTGGAGAAGATGGCTCAGCCCTGAGCAGCCCAGGGCTGAAAAGCATGCAGGGATGCTGGGGAACTGTGATTTAACTGTGAAGGGGTCTAGGACAGAAGTTTCATAAACCAGTTTGACCTAAATCTGTTAAATCTGATACTATGTTCAGCCAGGTTTATCTTAAACCAGTTTGTTCAACCAGGTTTATCTTAAACCAGTTTCAGCCATTTTGAAACTGTTTTGTGTGCACTGAACTTCTGTTCTGTTACAGATTTAAATCAGTTCTGTTCACTTAAACCAGTTTATGTGCAACTTCTGTGCCTAGCCTACTTGACCAATCAGACCTGAATTTAGCTGGCATTCTATCTAAATCTTTGGGTTCATCAAACCAAACCACTGGTATTTCTAGCACATGGCACAAGGCTCAAATCAAAAGAAACTACATTTTCATTTTGAATGGACAGAGTTTTTTTCTCCATGTTCAACATTTCCATGTTCTTATAATATGAATACTAGGAACACAAAGTACCTGCTTAGATATGAACTTCCACAAAATGAGTGGGTCTTTGGATTGGGGATTGAGTGTTCTAATTAATAAGAATATTCCCTGCACCATCCACTTCAATTCCTAAATGAGAAGGATTTTAGCTCGCAGACTTTTTAAACATTCTCTTAGAAATGTTACTGCATTAGTGAGTTCCAAGAAAGCAAGTTAGGAAATTTAAAGTTTTAGTGATGAAAGACTTAAAATACTTTTCTAGAAACTTAGCCCCAATTCAAGAAATCCTAATGCTTAGATATCTAATTACTTTGCCACTCTAGCTTATTATTTCCACTGTTTAACTTAGGAAATGAATAGGCAGGGCTAATTTTCCTGTGTGTTCTGTCTCTATTTCCACTCTGAGTCATTCAAGAGAAGTAGAGTTGAAAACATTTTTCACCCTTTCACGAATCCCTCATTATAGCTTTAGTTACCTGACATTATTAAATATTTTAGTAAACTTTAATAGAGACGTTTCTTGAAGTCACAGTGGGCACATCTACATGAGACACTACATCGCCATAGTGATGAGCTACAGCAATGTAGCATCAGTGGGCATGAACTGTGACACCAAAGCTATTGTGCAGCAGCAATGAGCTATAGCAGTCATAACTGTGGGTTGGAAATGACCCATGTGTCACCGGGGCTGTGCAGTAACGGCAATTACTGCACAGTTATTTAGTACTTGCTAAAGCTAAAGTACGTACTAAATAACAACTGCACAGTCGAGCACACATGCACATGCGCCCAGTAATTAGTGGCCTCAGCTTCCAGGTCAATTAAAAGGAAAGACATTAGAAGTTAAGCTTTTTTCCTTATTACAAGGGAGTAAGACTTTGTTCTTAAGTTATGGTGCTTTAAATTAAATATTTTGTTTAATTCTTATCTTACTTTTCCATCTCATTTATTTTTGTTTTGGAAAAATTGCCCCCAGATCCTGAATCCAGCAGCCACTGGTGAACTTTGCATATTGGTCCAAAGGCTTGAGATGTAAGAAACTAAGCATTCTGGCCCAGGCCTGCAAAACTTTTAAGCACATGTTTAATCTTAGGCACTGAAGTCATTGGCGATGTTGTCATGGACTTCCATGGCCCTAAAAATGACAATAGATTTTCTAACATACAACACACTGTAGTTCAAACTGTATACATAGAAGGAGAGGAGTTCCTGTCACACTATGCTGCTTGACATACGTGGCCACTTTCTGAAGTGCCTGCATGGGGGTCTGCCTGTATTAACAACCTGATCCCAGGTCTCAGCTGATGACTTCTGTTTACTGCAACCCCAATGAAGACTAGGAGCCTGATCCCAATATGAGTTTTGCAGTTGACTTCCCCAGGGATAGGGATCCAGGAGGAATAATAAAATGTGCATCATGCAGTTTTCATTGCCTGCCATACTTTGGGTTCATTTATACAACTTCCCTCTTAACAGAAATCCTAAGATGGGGAGTGATCTTGGAAGTCATGACACAGAACAGTGCACAAGGGAGCTCAATTACAGAAGATGGATAATGTGTGAACCTCAATTATGATAAGTGTGAGGCGATGCACATAGGGAAAAATAACCACAAATACACATATGAGGTGATTCTATATTAACTTTTACCACACAAAAAAAAGAGATCTTGGTGTTGCTGTGCACATTTTACTAACAAATCAAGTCAGTGCTCGGCAGCAGGTAAATAAAAACACCAAGTATCACTATACCTCTTTATAAATATGTGGTTGGTGCAAACTCCCATTTTTCAGAAAGTTTTGGGTCAAGCCTTGCTGCCTTCAGATAAACATAGTTGTAGTAAATACTGTACCCACTTCTGTACAAAGGGTATTGTGAAAGTATGAATATAATCACTAGAGACAGGTGCAGCTTTATAAAGGATTTGGTTGCAGAAAACAGGATTTGTTGGCTATTCATTTCAGAATAAAACTATATGTTTTAACAAAGCATGCAGTAACACTTCAAGAGCATTTAGGTAGTATTGTAAGCTCACTCTAATGGATGACTGAAGGCATCAGCCTAAAGCAAAACCAACAGACAGCACTCTTGTGTGCTATGACTTACATATCTATGGGACCCGAGACATATTTTCACAGAAGGATACTACTATGTGAATCCTTCTTGACCACTCCTGGTTTATTAAGATAACTGCTCTCATGGAAGGACACTTTCGTGAAAGCACATAGTTATGAGGGTTTTGTATAAATTAGTACAACTGTATTGAGTTAGTGTTAAATGTTGGTGGCTGGAAAAATATTTCTGGTGCATGTGGACTTCAGTGTCTGTCTTATGTTTATTATAAAAATGGTTTAGTGACCAGAACACGAAGAATCCCAAAGGCAAATTATCAACTCTAGTGTGACATTTGCATCCAGGAGGTTCTCTGGACAGCTGCTAAGGAAAACTGCTGGAGAAAATCATCAAGTTACATTTACCCAAGGTAATTCTCATTCCCCCACCCTCATACAAACCCCCCAAAATGTTCATCAAGTTTGTGGGTGTTCAGACCTGAAGTCTAGGGTTGAGCCTAGATTAAACGTCAACATTACCAACAATGCGATAAAGCATCCTGGACTACTTTTTATTGGATGTGACCCTTTTTCTAATAGTGTTTTGGAGGGGCAGTTAGGAATATATTCATGCAACTTTCTGGATGAAATGCAGGAAGTTGCAAAAAGACCTCAAGTTTGCAGACAGTGAGTGAAAATATGAACTGAGTGCTCAGAGCAATCAGAAAAGCAAGGGTTAGATGGAATAAGGTTATAATGCCCAACACTTACACAAAGCAGTGGTGAGTTTCTCTGGCTGGGCGTAATGCACCATGGCAACGCACAGGGTGTTCAGAGTAACAACACAGAGGACGATCCAATAGAAGCTTTGTGCTTTCACCATGCGCCGGATAAAGAACCGGAACATCTTCTCTTTCCTCCGGAAATATGAGGAACTTTCATTCTTTCCACTCTTCAGACTGGCACGAGCAAATGGAGACCCTGCACAGAGAATAGAGGGGAGAGTCATCACACTAAACCCATGAAGAAAAGAGGGGTGAGGGCACCTGAAATCATTCACAACGAAGAACCTCTCCAATCTCTGTAAATACAGTGGATGGATTTTGGCTCAAGGATTGGATTCTTAAGCCACTTCAAGACTCATCCATGAGCCGTGGTAGAGATCATCCTCAAATGGAGGGATTGCCAACGACAATAAATACAACTGACCACGCATCTGATTGCATTTAGAATGGGCCAAGAGACCCACTTGTCCCAGCCTTCCTAAAAGATTAAATCTCTTTCATAAAAAAGCACTAACAGGGATGTCCTGCACCTAAACCTGTTAAAGAACTTTGAAAGTCCCAGCCTACACTCTTAAATCCTCCCTCACTGGTTGAACTAAAAGTATGGGCAGGTCTACTGCGCTGTCCCTTCACTAGCTAGCCTGCATACCATGGTTAGCATTGCGTACAGCTGGTTCTGTGGCACAGAGAAAGAGGAACAGGCCAAGCCCCAGCACTGTGTGGTGACCTTCCTTGGGGAACTCAGTTCTGGCTGCCAGAAACCCTGGGACAGAAAATGGGCAAGACTTTTCTCTGTTCCCCACCACTACCCTGGACTGCTATGCTGAGCATTTACTGCTCCTTTACAAAAGGAAGTGTGTCACTTCATCTAGTGCTTCCTACCCACAGCAGCATCACCCTGCACAAGGGTGAAGTTGTGGATTGGTGGACAGTATAGAAGCAAATCTCCTCTCCTAATGCTTTGACGCTCATACAGGAGACATGGAAGCTGCTAGAGCATGCTAATTAGTATGCTTCAGCAGACACAATTAATCGAGTCTGCTCCGATGCACTGTAATTACAGCATGTCAGAACAGCCTCCCCACACGTCTACAGGCACTCCTTGTTTTAAAATGGTTCATGGCAGGGCTGTCACACATACAGCCTGCAGGTTGGATCCAGTCTGCAAGCCCTGACTCTGGCTTCTATTGGGGATCTTCCTGCAGCAGCAGCCAAGCGCCCAGGCAAGAGCTGCAGAGCTGGAGCCCAACAGCACTGTGAAAAGAAGCCTGGCACCATGGCTTGTTCCTGCAAGTCCATGGGATGCCGTGCTTCTTCCTGTCTGATCCCAGACCAGCTGAAGCAAGTGCCACGTATGCAGGATCTGGCATGGGGTGGCAGTCCCTGGGCCCAATCCAGCCCACGTGGCCAGCCCCCACACCATTCATGCACCTCACAGACCAGTTCCATAAGAGTCATCTGGCCCATGGGGCCAAATGAGTTTGACACCCCTGATTTATGGCTACATTATAAATTGGCTGCCACCATGCTCTATTGTGGACTGTTTCTCCCCAACTTCGGAGGTCATCCTGGAAGCTTTTGAGATGGATTTCAAGATAACTTTATACCATCTGTACTGAATATTTTAGGAAAAGGCACTTTGGTTTAGCTGATCATAAAGCATGCCCTCAGTTATTACTAAGTTGGCTAGACAAACAAGATGCCCAGACCATCAGAGATGAGCTTTTATGAACAGGCTCTGTGCCAAACACCTGGCAATGGTTAAGGATTTTAGCGGTGGGAATCTTATCTTGCCATTTGATAATGCGAAGACAGCACATATTGAACTGACTGCATTTCCGGCTGTAGCAACACTGTGTTGTCCCTGTCTCACTACCACACTGGAGTGTTATATGTGGACTTGCTCAATAGACAGTAAGCTTCATGCTGAGGCCCACACTCCAGTTGCTCCACCGGTAGTGCCACAGCATTTCAAATGCAGAGTTGGCCTTGTAGATTCAGTAATCTCACCAAAAGCTGTGGTGAACTGTTATTATCACTGATTTCATAAAACTCCCTTTGGTAATGAGGAATCACAGTGTTTCATATGTTTCATAGATTTTTAGGGTCCAAAGGGACCTCAGTAGATCATTAAGTCTGACCCCCTGCCCTGGGCAGGAAAGAGCACTGGGGTCAGATGACCCCAGCTAGGTGCTTGTCTAGTCTCCTCTTAAAGACCTGAAATGTAGGGGAGAGCACAACTTCCCTTGAAAACCCATTCCAGATTTTGGCAACCCTCACTGTAAAGAAATTTTTCCTAATGTGCAATCTAAATCTGCTCTCCATCAGTGTATGGCCATTGTTCCTAGTAACTCCAAGAGGCACCCTGGTAAACAGATCACCCCCTATTCTTTACTATCCCCACCCCCGATGAATTTGTAGATGGCCACAAGATCACCTCTCAACCTTCTCTTGCGGAGGCTGAAGAGATTCAGGTCCTTCAATCTCTCCTCATAGGATTTTACCTGCAGGCCCTTAACCATACGAGTAGCCCTCCTCTGGACCCTCTCAAGGTTATCCGCATCCCTCTTGAAGTGCAGTGCCCAGAACTAGATGCACTACTCCAGCTGTGGCCTCACCAATGCCGCAGAGAGGAGAAGTATCACCTCCCTGGATCTGTTCATGATGCACCTTCTAATGCATGAAAGAGTGCGGTTAGCTTTACTTTTCACTTCATCACATTGATGACTCACATTCACTTTGGAGTCCACTATGACTCCAAGATCCCTTTCTCCTGCTTAGAAAGTCACCTCCCAACCTGTAGGTGTGTTGGTGATTCTTTCTCCCTAGAAGCAGCACTTTGCACTTACCTTTGTTAAACTGCATCCTATTCTGTTCTGCCCACATTCCCAACCCGTCCAAATTTGGGGGTCAGACTCGATGATCTATTGAGGTCCCTTCCGACCCTAACATCTATGAATCTATGAAAAATCTGCCTGAATCTGCTCCCTGCCCTCCAGTGTGTTTACTCTGCCCCATAATTTGGTGTCATCTGTGAATCTGGACAGAGTGCTTTCCACGCCCTCATCCAAGTCACTGATGAAGATATTGAACAGCACTGAACCAAGGACCAAATCTTTTTTCCATGTCAAAAAATGCCTACTGCCCAATTGTGGGTATGATCCCACCAGGTTTCTGTTAACCCAAACAGGTCAAAGTCTTTGTTTGCAAGCAGGAGTACGAGTTCCTCCTGCTTGTTCTCCATGCCGCTGGCAATAGTACGGAGGCACCTAAGTCCCCCCACCCCGATGGGTGCCCTTGGTACCCCCCTGTCCTATTGTCCTTCAAAGCAACAGAATTAACCACAGGCTAAGAAGGATGCTGCATTGGCATTCTCATTTTATTTTATAAATAAAGGCCTCTCAAGGACCCACAGCAACACTGAACTTTCAAAGCCACAGAAAACATCTTCACAGAGATATTCCACTGTCTATATAACCTCACCTCTCTTGACTTGCATTGATTTCTGAGGTAAACAAATGCACCAAATTCTGCATTCACTTAAACAGAATCTGGAATAACTTCACTGAAGAAAATTAAGTCATTTTGAATATACACTAGCTTTTGGCTCAGATCAAGTGTATTTTCTATTTCCAATAGGAAATCACAGATATGAAATATAGCTCTGAGAGTAGAATTTTACCTATCATCTGGAAAACAGTAACAGATATTCAAGCAATCAGAAACCTGGAGGGCTGCATAGTCCACTGCCTGGCAGAGTACTCCAATGCTGATATTTCCAGTCCAGCACTCCAGGTGCCTGAAATGAGGTAGCTTGCATCAACCGCGGCGGACTTTATAGCACAGAGAGGGAAGGGATGAATAGGAGCAAACTGTGGATTTTAAAAATTATCTCAGAAAACACACTGTGAGTAATGTTAATAGTTATAGAGCTTTACAGTGTGGTTATAAGGTTCATGGAGTCACTTTTAATTGAATTACAAAGCACCTTGTTCAAGAAACAGCCAGCAGGAGACTTGTCAATGCATGTACTGCCCTGATCTGTGCATTCGATTGGCACTTTTCAATTAAACTGTTAGTTCTTCTCGGATACTTATGAACACAGCAGAGATGCATTCAGAGATACATTCAGATAGCATGAAGAAAACATCCAAAAAATGTCCCTTTATACACGATCCTCCTTACGTTTTGATCAATTATGCTATGCACAGTTTCATTCTCTTCGGAACGGGAGAGTCTCCCTTTCAAAGCCGGCAGTGCTTTCTGTTTTCTCTCTAATGTATTTGTTTCTTCTTCTCCACCATTTTCCACACATTATTGAACATATTCCTTTGTGGATGAGCCAGTCGTGCAGAAAAAAAAGGCCTGTTGATATTTTCCTGAACATATGATCCACAGATGATCTGAACTCAACAGAATATCTAAGAAGCCAGATCCTTCTGTGTCCCTGGCATCTGCCACTTAAAATGTTAGGGTCCGAGACCTGGTTAGGTGGCATGAGCAGCTAGTATCTGAAGAGAATGTGGCATGAATTAAAACCCCCAACAAGTTATCCTGGCAATAAGTAAACACGGAAGCAGCATGGTTTACCTACCACCCACACAGCAAGCAAAATTCCCTCAGGGAAGGGAAAGAAAACACATTACAATGCTAGCTTCTTCCCCCTTCAGCAGG